CTGCTGTTGAGGAACCTGCTGTTGAGGAACCCGCTGTTGAGGAGGCTGCTGTTGAAGAATCCGCCGCTGTTGAGCCTGTTGTTGAGCCAACCGCTGTTGAGGAACCCGCCGTTGAGGCACCTGCTGCTGTTGAAGAGCAGACCGTCGAACCTGTTGCTGATAGCACTGAAGCTGAGACAGAAACTGATAACTTGCAACCACCTGTTGTTGAACTTGCTGCGGAAGAACAACCTCAACTCCATGTTCCAGCTGTTGATGACAACGCCGTTGTTACCGAGCCTGAAACTGCAGTAGAGACTGAAATCCCTATTGTTCAGCTCAATGCCGAACCTATCACTGAGGCTACTAGCAATATCGATAATACCCAACCTGGTCAAGAAGCAACCACAAATACCCCGGCACCAGTTGTGTCCGTTGAAGAACCCACTGTTCCCGAACCAGCTCTCGCTTCTACTGTCGCCTCTTCTCCAGAGCCTGTACCTCAGCCTGTGGCTAACGAGGCCGATCCTGCTGTTCAGGTCCCTGAACCAGCTGTCACTCCTGACGTTCAAAAGGAGCTTCCTCAAATTCCAACACCACAAGCTGAAACCGCCACTACCTCAGCTGCCACCTCACAAACTGGTGAGAGCAAGGACCACGCTGGCAAGCAAAAGCATAAGGAGCATAAGGAAGAGAAGAAGAGCAAGTGCTCAATTATGTAAAATTTTTACCCCCAATAATTCCTCTCCCAGTGTTCACCTTAGCACGAAATCTAAAGCCAAGGACGGAACACCGTATTCTTTTTCTCCCATTTTAAATACGAACTTTTTTGTTGCGTTATACAATTAAACTACTTACATTTAGTATTATGGTATGGAATTTTTTCAGAAAGCTGTGTTCTCTGCAAAACAGCTCTACGGTAATGACAATGAATTTTTCTTTTTCAAAATTTTCCAGTGTTTGAGATTGCTCCCCACACCAAAAAAAAGAAATAAAAAAAAAAATTCCTCTCTTAAACTCTGGTGATCGATCGTAGTTTTGCAATTTCAAACCGACCATGAGTAGTCCACAGCCATCAGATTCGAGCCAAGAAGCCATTCAAGAGATTAGTAACGCAAGCGAGGATCAAAACAACACTACACAAGTTGACATGTCCAAACTCTACCCACATGAAAAACCTGATTACAAGGATCCAAAGTACGCTGGCATGAGCAGACGAGCTATTAAGCGTCATTATAAACAAGAACGCTGGGACGCTACTCGAGATGAAAGAAGAGATGCTGCCAAAGCTAAAAAGAAGCAAAAGAAAGAAGCAAGGAAGAGAATGTACGAGGAAGGGTTGATAACGCCTCCACAGGGACCCAAAAGAATTCGACTGGAGGATCAGGTGTGGAGCAAGTTAAACGTTGTAATTGATTGCGACTTTAATTCACTGATGGTAGAAAAAGAGATCAATTCGATGCAAACCCAAATATGTCGGTGCTACAGCTCTAATCGATCCGCGAAATATCCATGTCCTATTACCATCACTTCATTTGGTGGTGATTTAGAGCAGGTGTTCGACAAGAAGACACCGTCACGAACTAATTGGAAAGGCGTTGATTTTACAACTGAAACATACCTTGAGAAATTTGATAAAGAAAAGCTGGTCTATCTGTCAGCGGATTCAGACAATGTGGCAACAGAATTGGATGAGAATAAGGTGTATATTATTGGCGGAATCGTTGACAAAAATCGTTACAAGGGACTTTGCCAGGAAAAAGCTGTCAAGGAAGGAATCCCTACTGCACAACTTCCAATTGGCGAATATCTCCAATTAGCTACACGCAAAGTTCTCACTGTAAACCATGGTAAGCTAGATTTCTTACGATTATTAATATGTTGGACTCCTTAGGCTCACATCATGTGTTCCGCAGTATATGAAATCATGCTCAAGTGGCTTGAATGTAAAGACTGGAATCAGGCATTTTTAGAAGTTATACCCCAGCGAAAGTTCAAAGACTTTAACGCATCCAACCAACCTAATTCATCAGCAGCCGGTGAAGATTCGTCCGATGAAGAGGCAGTGGACGAAGGATCAGACATCGGTGCAACGCCACAGGATAATTAGGGATAGTTACTTCACTAGAGGTACTCATTGAGGTGCCAACACAAGAATAGAGCCATCGTGCAAAATTGCAAAAATAAAAAAAGATTATGCCATAGCCAGTGGTGTTTCACATACGCTAATTACTTTATGTATTATACAACTTCTTCAAACATATCCTTATCCGACATATCATCATCTGAGTCATGTCTTTGTACTTGAGAGCGGTTGTGGTCGTTGTCGCTTCGCACTTGGTATCGCTCGTGCTCCCGCTTCGCCACTTCACGGCCTTTGCTTCCCAATTTAAGCAGCTCGCTCGACCACTTTTCTAGCTGCGTGGTGTATTTGTCTATCGTTTCCGTCTTTACGTGTATATCGCGTCGTAACAGGGCTAAAGACTGATTATATAAAGTTAAGACCTTGGTGCGTCTTGATAATCACAAAATACATAGTGGTACCACTTTACCTGCTCTAGAGCCACTTCTTTGTCTTTGAGTAGCTCCAGCCGAATATCGCCCATTGCTTCTTCTATTGAACTAGTAGTGGCTTTCATCGCGGCAATATGTGTTGCGATGTCTGCGATTGATATTGATGAGCGAATGCTATTGTTCCTCCCTTAGACGAGCATGCATCATACATACCTTTGTGAATGGCTTTAGAATCATTGATCTTGTCAGGTGTATCGGGAAGAATGGTGCTTAAGCATTCAGAAAACTCTCTGGAGTATTGATCCGCTAAATTGGAGAGTGTCGCACTCGAAGCCATGAGCCAGCAATGTCTTCAAGGAAAGGCGGAGAAGTGCTGAATACGTTTCTGGCAACCAATTTTCAAAAATTTGAGGCAACTTGTCAAAGATCAAAAAAACTGCAATATGGCCATCGTCGCGATTAAAGTCCTAACTGCTATTTGATACATACGACGCTTTAACTTCGTTAACCACGCAAAGACTTTTTTGATATCTGTATTCAATACACTTTCTATTGATAACTATTTACACATGCTGTATGTGGTTGAGAACAACTATTAAGATTCTACAGCTTTTCATCTTCGCGAACTTTTTCCGCTAGCCGTCTGCGTTCGGCTTCTCTGAGCTTCATTAATGTTACTGTTTCGTAATCCTCATCTGATGTTTTCGGCGCGTTTCCAAAAGACATCTGTATTGTAAAGATGGTTAGAATATATGGTCCTCATCCTTGGATGCAACCCAGTCTGAAAACAATAATTTTGTCACCACTTACTGGAGCTGGAGCATTGCCAAATGCTCGAAACAATGGCTTCGCTGCAGACGCACCTCCAAACAAAGGTTTCGATTTGGACGATAGATTACTGGTATGCGTTGACAGGGTAGCATAATCTAGCTTGGATGTTTCGATAGATTCCGACGCAGTCTTCAAACTGTTGTTCTTCAAAGCAACGCCTAATTTCGCAACAATGGCTGGCTCTTTACCGGTTGCCCAATCGATTGCTTCAAAGATGGCGAGATCTGGATGGGTATCTTGGCTAGTAAGGGCAGCATGCTATTAAACAATGAATTAATACTTGACACCATGTAATTTCCAACGTGGTTATGAGCTTACCGCGCCAACAATGGATTTGAAAACAACCAGGCCGCTGCCCTGTTTTGTCATGACAATGGCATCCACTGGTCCAAATTTACCAAACAGACTAGCCAGCTCTGTCTGTTCAAACGTTCTCTTTTTCTTCTTCCACTTGATCTTCAATGTACAATCCATTTCACTTGCTTCTGGTACCTCTGAAACATATTCACATAAGTCTAAATTCATTAATCAACAATGTCTAACATTATTCATCGCGTACCTGCTTTCTCCTCTTCCTCCATCATCTTTCGCAGTTCATCTTCCTCTTCCTGCATCCTTCTACCGCTGTCTTCCCTCATCCTCGCCAGTTCCGCTTTGTATTTCGCTTCAGCATCCATTTCGTCAGTTTTGCGCTTTTTGGCAGCTTTTTCTCGTGCCTCTAATTCATCTCGGGCAGCTCGCCGCTTTGAGTCCATTTCATTGTGTCTCTTGTTCCGTTCTACTCTTGCTCTGATCACATTGTCATAAGCTAGCTTTGCTTGGGTATCAGTGAGCACTTCATAGGCTTGCGAGAGAGCATGGAACAGGGCTGCGGCATCAGGGCTGGGATTCTTGTCAGGATGGACCTTGAGTGCCTTTTTACGATACTGCCTTCGTATATCTTCATGAGTACTGTTGTATTCAACCTCCAAAAGTTTGTAATAGTCAACGTCGGGGTCGAATTCCTTTCCTGCCGGCATGATAGAAATGCACTGTCGTTAAAGCCAGTGCGAAAGATGAAAGCGGGAACAAGGTGAAATCGAAATTGCCGCGATCACGTGAATCGCACTTGGCTTTCTGCAAAAGTACACTTTATGGAGTGAGCGTCAGATCCACTGGAACCTAACAGAGTGTACTAAAATTATAATCTACTTATATTAAATTGGGAGGCTTAACCATTATTAATAATTAATCTGTATCGATTTTATTGCCATTGATATTACCAAAAACTCATGAAAAGCATGATGAACAATAGCTGAAAGCGCGGAAAGTGAACGGCTCTCAAAGCCACCCTGAGACTGTCATTTTCCAACTGAAAAAATTTTTGAACGCATAAATAGACACGGGAAGCGTTGCGTACTGTCTTTCCTTCTTCAGTTCAGTCAAGGTATGTACACTTATTTCAAGCCTTTCCCTTCGTTTCAATGCATCCAGGCGATGATCCATTTTCCACAAATACAAACTAGAGTTTCTGAACAAACCGTGTTTATACTTTTTATTCTGATGTTTGCAATACCTCCCTTCCACTATTTCTCCCATACTTTCATCCCCATGTAAACTCACACATCATCTACTCAGCTTGATAGATTTATTATCTTACTTGCTAGTCTGGTCTGGTTTACACATGGATCATATAGGGTAAGCACACGCTCTTTTCGGGAAGCATTTACCTAGTGATTAAAGGATGAAACAAAACGCAATTAAAGCTGGAATTACCGGCTGAATTCGATGTAGATAACATTGCACATTTACTGAGCAATCATTAGATCAAAATGCTTCCTGTTATTTATGTTATACAAATATCATGACATTAACCAACCCTTCCAACAGATAGCTATATACTACGTGTATGTGTACGTTATTAAGGACCTCAATAAAGAAAGGTAATTACAAAAAAACATTTCTTCACGTTTCCATCCATGTAAGCAGCTTTGAAAAGATGACTTTTCAGCACTGGGCACTGAATCATAATGATCGATAAGCTCATGAACACCGAGCCTAGAAAACTCGCTCCTGATCTTAGCTTTGTTTACATGGATTGAAACCTTACAATCGTTGTCCTAAGTCATCCTGCTCACACATCAATTCAGTTTATTAGCTTTTTTCTATCACGGGCTTTATGTGGCTGCTGTATTGCACCTCCACAATTCATGTGTAAGTTTACTTTTGTCAATCTACCCATTCTCTATCACTTGTATCGAACGGATCGGTCTCGCAAATGATGAACACACTAGATGACGAGTCAGAAGAGTAATTCACTGTTGAGAAACCCTTTTTAATACCATTCATGCCTAACTGAGCAAGATCTCTCCTCTGATACAAGTGATTAGAGACAAGATTTAAAATTCGCATGACCCAAATATCACATTTACTGATATTGTACTCTCATCTAGATGTCTGTATCTTACATTGCGATGCAAAGCACATGAAGCAGTAAGCTTACGACCTCCCATGTACTAGGTATGTATTGGTTATGATTGCTTTGACGACTCTGGGTGCCAAGGGATGATATACAAACAAAATAGACAAGCATATGTCTGAACTTACTGTAGACAACCTTCACGTCTGATGTGTATCCCAGAGTTGGTAGTGTGTACTCCTTCCATGATCAACTACTAACATCATATTTAGCTTTTCACAGATCTATGTACTACAAGCCACTGTTCCTTGCTACATTTTATGGACTGTGGGTACGTAATCAATCATGATCACTGTCGTCCTTCATTGCATTGGTGATGACCAAAACTTTATCACGACGGTCTACTTAGTCCTCGGACTGTGATTATGTCGGGTTGACACCCAATTCTATCTGATCAATGCAATTGGACTCCTCAGCGATGTTATTGTCATGAATCTTATCCACTGATACTAACGCGAACTTACAATCTTTCAGGTATTAGAAGTCTCTTGCTCAAAATCTGAAGGGGCCATTTTGATTTAGCTTCAATTGAACAAAGGTAAGACGTATATGAAGGGGTTGAATAGTTAAAATTTTTTATCGGCTGGCTTGTCGTAAACAACCAAAAAAAAAAAAAATATAGCCAAAAAGGACTAAAAAATAAATAAAAATCAAAATATAGCCAAAAAGGACCTAAAAATATCAAAATATAGACGAAAAAGATCGAAAAGTAAAAAAATAAAAAAGTAAAAAAAAAAAAACTTACACATGTATCGCGTATTCTATATCGTTATTT